AAATAGCATTCCTAGCAACATATCTTTTGTTGTGAATTCAAAATTATAGATTTCTTCTATTGTTAATATTTTATCCCATATTTGTATTTTTATATTTTTTGCTTTATATTTAATCATACTTTCTTCATTATTAAATTCTGCTACTACCATTGGTGTTTTTAATTTTTCTCATTTATCTTCTGGTGTTTTTAATTATTTTCTTATTTTGACAGGTTATTGTTAATTGTTCATTTTCTATGTTGTACGGTTTAACTTTTTTTAACCATTTTATTCCTGATGTAATATTATGGTTTCCTTGATATATTTTAAATGGTATTACTAAGGGTATTTTCTCCTATTAGGATATCCATCTGTTTTTCCATCCTCTGTTTTATCAGATTCTTGATTTAGCTCTTTTTGACCTGCTTCTTCTTCATGAATTCTACGTTTTTCATTTGCATTACCATCTTCTTCTTCGTCAATACGTATTCGTTTACGTCCAATTGCAGGAACTGTAGTTAACATTTTCTTGTTTTTTTTGCAAAGAAAATCAAAACAGAAAGAAAAAATGAGTAGAGATTATGAAGTGACTGAAGAAGATGGTTAACAAATAATAACCCTTACTATTATTATATAATAAAACTAACTAATTACTGAGGAAAAAAAACAGCTATAACTTCCACGGATAGATTCAAAATTAGTACTCGTTTTTTCAATTTCTTTGCACTTGGGAAAAACTAATGGCAGAAGGTTTCCATTTGGTATTCAATAGTCGTATGGAGTTCTTTGATTAAGGGAGGCATTAATGCAGAGCCATGTAAACTCTAATGCAAAGTCTTGCACCAGTAACACTGTTGTATTCGATCTCGTGTTGCTATTTAATTGCTGCCCGAGATGCAACTTTAGGACCAAAGTTATTCTACTGATTAAACTTTGATCCCCTGAAGCTGATTCGTGCGCAACTGCTTTGCCTTAGAGTTTTCGATGCTTCTTCTTGGTTTCTTGCTGCATTATTTCCTAATAATAGTCGACATTCACTTTCATTGCTTTCAAAAGTTCCAATAAGACGGCAGATTATCCAATACAAACTTCTTAAATTGCTCCACACTTTTTCCTGTTTTCTTGTCGACATATTGAATTCTCATTCGATGTGGAAAATTGCTAGTAAACCAAGTTCGACTTTAACTCTAACCGTGATAGGTCTCGACTTATATTGAGTGGCTTTATCGACTGCTATTGGCTTATCAGCAGCCGAGGCAAATGACAGGAAGGATTGTTTTGCAAAAAGTTGCCTGCGAGGAAAAGATATCCAAACAAAAACTATTGATGTCTCTTTTTTCGAATTCAAATAATTTTGCTGAGCAGACAAACAATCTACATTTTCTTTCCTGTAAATAGCGTGAATAAATAAGTATCATCAGAGAACAAAAAGAATGATAATCTCTGAAACATTACAAACAAGAAATGGCACATCTTTTATTCTATATCAAACAGTTTGCCACATACATCATATCCAATCAAGTTTTTCTCATCTCTTAGTCAGAAATATTGTAATGCTTCTGTAAAGATTATGAATCATATATGATATCAAATCGAGTTTCTGATCTTTTAGTCAAAAATATGGTAATGCTTCTGAAAATTAGTATCGTAAAGAGTTACCAGAAGTACAAATAGGTCGTTTAGCTTTTTCAACTGCTTTTCTTATTCTTTCTTCTCGTTCTTCTTTTTATTTTTCAACAGTTCTTCTTCTTCTTTCTTCTTCCTCTTTGTCGTCGCCAATTTTATCTTCGTATTGGAATTTCCTTTTTCGTCCTCTATTTCGATTCAATTCTTCCATTTTTTCATCAGATTCTTCATTTTCTATGCTCGTTTCTTCGTTTTCATTATGTCCATCAATCTCCATTTCCCCTTCTTCTTCTTCGTCGTTTTCAGGTAACTTTTTTCTTTCTTTTACAAAAAAAAGTCGAAACAGAAAGATGAAATAAAGCAGAGATTTTACACTTTTTTAATTCAATATGAAGTGACTCAAGAAGATGGTTAGTTAATTGTTTATTTAACGAAAAAATGGTTATAACTACCACTGCTCTTTTATATTTTGTAGTTATAGACACTTAAATTTTAACTTATAATTCAAAATTATTATTATTTTCTCTATTTTTAATTATATTTTGGGGTTTTTTTATTTGGTATCTAGTATTCATATTAGAGTTCGATTTAATTTGAATTCACCATTTTGAATTTCTTATATTTTTTCGTTATGTTTATATTTTAACTTATTATTTCAAGTTTGAAAGTTAGAATTTTGAATGGTATAATAAAGGTTACGTTCATTAATGCCAGTAATTCTAGTAAAACTCAAACCAAAATTAAATTAATAATATCTAACAAAAAAATCAATTCAACATTGTGAATGACTATAATGTTGAGTATTTTTTTTTAATTTTACATTAGCTTAGACAACTAATACATAATTTAAATTTGAATTTTTTCTTAATATTTAATTAGATAATCAATTTTGAGGCATAATACATAAATATATCCTTTAATTTAATCTCATTTTACATTTATACCTCCAACTTTGAGTGTGCACAAATGAGCACTTAAACTTGTATAAAGTTGAACAAAAAATAGATACATGAGTCCTACGTGTTACAATACATGGACTCAAACTTCAATGTAGGATGCCATGTAGGACGTTTGTGTTTATTTCTTCAATTTTATACAAGTTTAACTGTCTATTTATGCACACCCAAAATCAGAGGCGGATCTAGGATTTGAAGGTAGTGAGTGTCATATCGTTATGTTAATTGAATGATCAAATTATTATTGTTAAGTCTCAACCGTTTGTGATTTTTCGTTACATATACCATATTATAATACTGTCTATTTAAAGTCAAATGTAGCCCATGACTTAATGGTATTATTACTGTTTTGTCATGTGTGGATTATAGGAGTCCAAGCACCAAACATTTTTATTTTGCAAAAGAAACAGAAAATACATTAAAAATGAGCAATATGACAATCGAACTTGCAACCTCAAAACTGAAAGTTCGATCCTTAACCACGAGCACCATGCGCATACTTGTGTCTAGGGGTGGCAGATTAAATTTTCTTAAGCTTTTTATGTAGATATACATATATATAACATGTATATATAAAATTTCAATCGAGACCACCGTTAAAAAATAATGGCATACATGATCCTTTTTTTTAAGGATAATGACATAAATGAACCAAACTTATAACTGATGGCATAAATAAGCCTTATCTAAAAGTTAAGTGGCATATTTGAGTCTTTTCCCTTTTATTAAAGATAGTTGTATTCTAGTAGGACTAAAAAATATTTGAAACACTATCTAATTATATATTTATTTGAATATTTTTTCAAAAAAAACCATAAAACGTCATATAACAAGAAAAAAAACCGAGGAAGAATCCAAATTTTATTAAATTTATTTGAATGAATCTTTAAAGACAACAATGGTTATCACACTACCCAAATATAAAATTATGAATGTGAATTGAAATTTCAGTTTTTAATCAAATAAATAAGATTAGATGTTATTAACAATGGGCACAAAAAATGCCTGTATATGTGGAGAATACCAACAAAAGAAAAATGATATGATTTTCTACAAATATATGCTATACCTACCAAAACCTCATGGGTGTTGCAAAGGGAAATAAGAGACTAGGGGCTATTCCTCCATTGAAGAAAATACTTAACTGTTCTCCTATTTCTTTCTCTGCATGTAAGGGTCAAGTCGAGTCGAGCAACATCTAACACCTTGCGTCTTCTCTTCCATCAGCTATTCAATACTTCTCTTATATGATTGAAGTTCAAAACTACTCGGTTCTTGCACGTTTTGACTGTGCTTGCTTCATCCAGTCGATGCATTCTTCAGCTGAACCAGAAGGGTGTGCGAGCTGCCACTCCAGCAGTTTTTGTTGCTGCGGAGAAAATTGAACTATCAGTAAATACTTATAACCGATTAAACGCTGGTTATGGAAATAGTATTAGTGGCATACCCATTCTCTAACAACTGGCCCTCCACTTTTAATCTCCAAAATATTCATAATTTCCTTTCCATTAACCAGTGGTTTCATTTCCCAAACCTTCTCCAGACCTGGAAATTAAGGTAAGCTTAAAGGTTAAAAAGATCAATCAAATATGTAGTTTCTACAAAAGCAACATGCACATCACACGATGTATGCAAAATTTTACTATTCTAATATTACTGTCCAGTGAAACATCTTGGTGGGAGTCGGTACTCCATGAGAAACCTTAATTCATTTGAACCACACTAAATAAGTGTGGAAGTGAGAAAAGACTTTGGTATGGGATATAACCAAGGAATGTGAACAAGGTTAAGTTATTTTTATCTTTTATGGCTGTCTTCAACCGAATTGATCCAAACTCTGAGGCAACACTGAAGATAAGTGCTTAAAGGGAAAGAGAGCAGCAACACAGGAGCATTGAGTAAGAAAAATAATATATAAAAGGGACGCAATTGTACCTCAAGTCTTAAAATTCATGCTCAGTAGCTATATGAGATGATTGATACGTCCAGTTTCACAATCGCAAAGGGAACACAAAGTTAGAAGCAAAGAGGACGAATGACAATACCTAGTGTTCTTACTGCATTCTCTACTGTCTTAAATAATCCGCTACTCTTGTCCAGTTCAAAGTTCTCATTTGAGAAACTTGTAGAGGACACAACGTCAACAGGATGTAGCAGCATAGATAGAAGAAGAGCGACACGCCAAAATTCTTTAATTTCTCGAAGTAGCAAACCTGTTTGTAAACAAACATTTACTAAATCAATTTGCAATATGCCACACTAATTGGTAGAGCACTTGTCTGCAGAAGAAAGATATTGTTACCAGTCAATATTCTAAGTTTTGAAGCTATTGGAACCTCAATGGTATCCCTTTTCCAATCAACTTCAAGAACTTGGATATCGTCTTTAGAAATGAGTAGTGATATTAAGGTGACAAATTTCCTAGTTACCGTATGCAAGCTCATGACCTGCAAATGGATCATAAAATATCACACTTCTTGATGTAGAGAGTCACACAAGGTTCAATCAAATTCATGAAACAGTCGCATGAAGAATCACTCACTATTTCCGCATCACTGGCCTTCAACTTGAGAGAATTGCGAAAAATATAATTGACAACTGGAATCTGATCAGCATCAGCCAAAGTTAGTAATTATTGACAAAAAAATCGCAAATCCTCAACATGTGTAGACATTATCAAGTTCGCAGAAAGAGGTTACAACTACATAAAAAAATAGTATCTTTAGGGCCATGATTTTTCTTCTGCTTAGAAACAATATCCAGCAAT